CAGATCGCAATCAGTTGAGGATTCAATTTTCAATCGATTGGCAACCGTTTCATCCCTTCGTCCTCATTAGGGAAGGAGAAATTGATTGTTATATTAAGGGCAGGATTCCGCCGCCCGTCGGCGTTTCGAACTGCGGTAGGTTTCCCTCACCTACTCGACAGCGAACATCACCGCTTGCTCCGCCCTCCGATTCCCCCATACGCGTTCCCCCCCACTCTACGCCGTTATCGACGCTCTCACACGCTCCCTGTTTTACTTACAGGTACGTACTCAAAATTAGTTCTGCGCCACCGCTACGAAATTTTGCGGTTGAAGCGTTTCCATAGGCGCTAGCAATCTCCCTTATAATCTCTGGTATCAGCATGTTCAACCACGGCAATAGATCCGGGGAATCCCTTCGGTTCCTGCAACACCACGGACAACGAAGACCAGGTTGTGTGCAAAATGGCCGCAAATTCGACCGTTCTGGTTAGAGTCACTCTGCTTCCATGGAAATACATTTACCCAGAGCATCCCAACACATCAGTAATTGATTTGACTGTTTACCCCGCTGATAATTCCACCACTACACCGCCCATAGGGAGATTCTCCATGGGAGCATTGCAAAAATCCACTATACTGAGGTCTGTAGATGTGAAGCACGTAGAATTACACAGAGATTTTGATTTACCAAGAAACCACAGCATCGAGCGTGTTAACCTAATCGATAATAACTTAACGGCATTCCCTACAAACATTACCAACCGAGATGACCTAAAGGTCATTCTGATAAAAAATCAAAAAATCAGGGCTTTATCTCCCAATTCGTTCACCGCAATAATGGCCAACCTGGAGACACTTAGTTTAGAGGATATTCAGCTGGAGGAAATCGAGCCAAACACTTTCACGCAATTGAGTAACCTGAACCATCTGTCCTTGCCGGAAAATCACTTGAATGTTCTCCATTCTGACATGTTTACTGGTCTTAATCATTTGACATGGCTTGACTTGACAAACAGTCAAATCCGTGCAATAGAGCCTGGAACTTTCGCCAATATATCAGATACACTGGAGTATCTCAATTTAGCCGGTAATCAGCTGAAAGTAATTGAGCCAAAGATTTTCACGCAATTTAGCAAACTAGCCTTTCTGATCTTGTCCCAAAATTCCTTGGAGATTCTAGCTCCTGATATGTTTGCTGGTCATTTGGTGACTTTGGATTTGGATTTTAACCAAATCTATACGATAAAACCTAGAACTTTCGCCAATATATCAGATACACTGAAGTATCTCTATTTAACCGGTAATCAGCTGAAAGTAATTGAGCCAAAGACTTTCACGCAATTGAGCAAACTGAAGGATCTCGACTTAGAAGGTAATCAGCTGACAAGCATCGAGCCAAAGACTTTCATGGAATTGAGCGGCCTGAGAATCCTGGACATGAAGAAAAATTACTTGAAGGTTTTATCTCCTTATATGTTTGCCGGTCTTGATAATTTGTACCGCCTTAAATTGGGCGGTAACCAAATCCATACGATAAAACCTGGAACTTTCGCCAATATATCAGATACACTGAAGTATCTCTATTTAACCGGTAATCAGCTGACAAGCATCGAGCCAAAGACTTTCATGGAATTGAGCGGCCTGAGAATCCTGGACATGAAGAAAAATTACTTGAAGGTTTTATCTCCTTATATGTTTGCCGGTCTTGATAATTTGTACCACCTTAAATTCGGCGGTAACCAAATCCATACGATAGAAGCCGAAGCTTTCGCCGATATAAAAAATAGCTTAACGAAGCTCAATTTAGAATATAATCAGCTGGAAGTAATCAAGCCAAATACTTTCACGCAATTCCGCAAACTGAACAGCCTGAGAAGGTCGGGAAATCGCTTAAAGATTCTAGCTCCTGGTATGTTTGCTGGTCTTGATAATTTGGTCTCTCGTTTCTTGGAGAATAACCAAATTCATACGATAGAAAATGGAACTTTCACGCAATTCAGCGGCCTGAACACTCTGGACTTGACGAGAAATAACTTGACGGTTCTACATCTTGACATGTTTGCTGGTCTTGATCGTTTGGAAAATCTTCTCTTGTTGGATACCCAATCGATACGATAAACCTTGGAAGTTCTGGCAGTTTTTCTCTTCTTCAAAAAGTCTTTCCTGATGTGGACTTGCTGAATGACCTTTCGAGACTTCCTAAGGGACTTAATAAACGCAGGGTTACTTATGTGATGGGTGATGGAACCATAATAATGCAATTTAAACGCGAAGAATTTTTTTTTGTATTGAACGGTCTTCAGGCGGAAATTCCTGCACACGGATTCCATTAAATATCAGAAGTGTGTTAATTTAAAAATGTAGTTTTAAAATAAATTCTTTTGAAACACTTTATTTTCTTTTTATATAAATATACCTTATTGAGTATGAAGAGTTTGGCCGAGAGATAATGAATAAACAACCGCACGAAATTGTAGACTTGCTCTTGATTACATCATGAGCTTATTCTCTGGATGAGTGTTAGGATAATCGGGCGAGGAAGACATGTCGGAGGTGAGGCGGAGGGGTTTCTATTGTTTTCCTGCAGAAAACCAATCGCTGAACAAAAAAAATTTTCCCATTCAGATTCGAAATTCAAGCAATATTAGGGAGTATCTCCGGTTAAAAATTGTTTTTGGAGCTAATCAAATTTATTTGTATCTGTCCACGCATTGAATGGTTTTCAGATTGTTTTTTTTTTTAATAAGTGAAAAAATATTAATCTATGCGAAAAAGTGGCAACATTGTCGGTAGTTTTTTTTTCACCAGGACCTGGTACCACTGGCTCGAGGGAGCTCCAATCACAACGCTTCATCGCTCTCTCTCAAGAGACGTTTAAATTGACCGCACTACCCCCACCCGATCGATACTTGGGACGTTCCCAAGCAGCACAGTTCTGGAGGGTATCTGCAAGTATACCAAAAAGGCTGTCTAATGTCTGTCCAAAAAGGTAACTTGTGTCTAGAAGTTACCTAGAAGTTAACTAAAAGTTATCGTATGACTGCAAGATACCTTTTGGACGGACATTAGTCAGGCCTTTTGGTATACTTTCAGATATCTTTCGCAAGGTTTGTTACTTGGGGTTGGGCGTTTGGGCTGCGTGCGCAGAAATTTCATTATTCAGTACTTTTTTCGCTATTATTAATAAACAATGCTCCTAGGCGACAATTTTTTCACTCAAAAAATCATTAATCACATGTTCTAAATGTGTCTAAAGTTTCATGACTTTGGCTGCTTTTTTTCCTTGGGTTTTGCCGTTTTTTTTTGTGATTTCCAAAAGATCACGGGTTAAATTACCACTTTTTCAAAAATTCATAATAAATTAACCATGTTCCCCAGCAGTCTGAAACTTTGCCACGCCTTTTCCATCATTTAAAGAATACCTAGAAAAATAAAAGAGAAAAATGGCTGCTTTTTTTCTAACCCCCGGGCTCGCCCGATTATCCTTAATAGATTATCATTTTATAGATTAATTTATAGTGCACATTAACTCCAGTTATGGAAATGAGAACAGAAAATCTGACCTGTGAAGCATAAAAATGAATTGAAATCAGCAATTTCACGATCATTGATTGCGCTGAGGGAAACGATCTGCCAGACTGCTTTCGCCAGAATCATGGGCCATAATTCATTCGTATTCTGCGTACTCGGAAGCAGTGGCATGCCGTCGTAGCCCTGGGGGATGGTATCATCCACGGGGAAACATCTCCAGAATCCCATGAAGAAGAGTTTTACCATTTATTTACCTAATAGACAACAGTATAATCATTACACGTATGATATAATTTGACAGACAAGCCTGGCGAATTCGCTAGACAATTCTATTCAAACATTTCAATAGAATCCGTAGAAAACTAATAGAAAGTTTAACAGAAATCAAATTGAATTGTAAAATTGATGTTGTTCAGCTACCGTTGGGGTTTAGTTGAGGATTATGTTCAGATTCCTTCAGAGATTTGATTGGGGAGTAAATGTGATGCCATCCCTGCCACCTTTTGCCTCCCACCTCATGACAGTAATTCAATATTTTCTCTGTTGAACAAAACCACTTGATGAACTGTTGAAAAACATCGAAAATACTCTAAAAATTCATGAATTATTTCCCATTTCTTCGACTTCCGGTATTAACTGGCGTTTTGTATGCAATTTTTTACAGCTGAGTAGTTTGGCGAAAAGTCAAATGAGTTTATGACGGTCTTCTCGGAGGTCACAAGTGTCGACCCAAGACCATGTGCTAGGCCTAGGCCATAAATCATAGGTCTACTGTCCTCCGTCCTCCCAACCACTGCATTCACTCGCTGCAATCGAAATAATCAACATGACACGATTATAATTTTATCAAAATAGAATAGCAGACATCGAAGTTATGGGGTTTTGGCAGTGGTAATAGAAAATAGCAATTTTAACGTTGTCCACGGACATCAAAAATCCATTTGTGTTTTTCCGATGATGACCTCTTCCGTAACTTCACTGATTCATTCTCATTAAGATGATACGATAATTTCGATAGAATTTGTGCATATTTTCGCCGAGTTAAAGGGAAACCCGACGACCTTGATGTTTTCCGCGGTGACCGGAAAATCAATTTTTCTGTCGACAACAAAATTCGTTTGACTTCCGGTATCGTTACCACGACTCTGTTTTTAACTGTAAACTATTGACGAGCACCCTATCAACCAATGAAAAAAGTTTGAGTACAATTGAAAGATGGCAAATATTCCAAAAATCGATGTTTGTGGGTAAGAGGCCCAAATTTTGATGTTTAATTTAACAAAAAAATTCATTTCACACCCGGTATCGTGGCCAAGATTTCATTTTCAGCCTTGAACTGCTTCTAGGTACCCTATCAACTAATGAACAAAGTTTCAGCGAAATTGAAAGATGGAAAATATTCCAAAAATGGATGGTTATGGGTGAGAGGCTCAAATTTTGATATCCAAGTTGACGAAAAATTCTTTTGACTCTCGGTGTCGTTGCCACAATTTTGGTCCTGAATGTAAACTGTTCCAAGGCGAAAAAGTTGCATTCGAATTTTGCTCGTTCGCTCCCATTGACGCAGCACTTAGAAAATATTGATCCAAAATTGTTTTTTTTTGCTCTTTCATGATCATCTTTCTCTCTACATTCTTTCTCTCTTTTCCCTCTAATCTACACCGAATCTGAAAACTAGGATATTAAAAAATTTTAATTAATTTAATCTGAAAGATGAATTTAGGAGACAATAAAATAAAATAGCGTAACATAATTTAATATTATAACAATATTTCTATAATATTCTCATAAAAAATTTTACATCTCAACAGATATATTCACTTATATCTCATCAATATAAATTTATTCTTCGTCTCTAATTAAGCCTAGTAGGCCTCTTCAGCTTCTCACTGAGAAGCTCATGGACAGCGCCAGGGTCTCCACTCCTCATAGCACTCGTCAAGTCCTCCACTGCAATTCCAGACGAAGCTAGTCTTCCAATCAGATCGTCACTGATTCCAATCTTCTCCTGGGTCTTCAGTCCCTGGTACTCCCTCTGAATATCCACCCTCCTCAAACGAACTTTAATGTTCTCAAACATTTCGACAACTGTTTTGCTGCTTTCAACGAAAGCCGAAGCCTCAATATTGATCTCCGGGTGGTTTACGAGTTCCTGCATCATGATGATGTCGTTCATGGCATCATGCGCTCCACAGCAGTCTCCCAGGAACAACGTAGCTAGCGACACGAGTTTGTAATCCTTCCCCTGATCGAGCTGATGTACTGCACAGTTTAGGAGATTGTATACGTGCAATAGCACCCTAAATACAATAAAGCGAGCGTTCAAATATTACGTCACACGGTTAGGGGGAGGGGAGGGAGTCAGTATTTTGTGATGTTTGTGACGAATGGCTGTTTGTGAAGAGGCCCGCCTAGGTTGTAATGTCACACCAACTTTTGGCAGTGATATGTAACATTGGAGACAAAGAGAATGGTGAATCGATCGATGAAGAATTAATTGATTAAAAAGATCTCCAGGTACCGGATTTCTCTAACGATACTGGAGCAACGCCGATCATTCCGATCGAAATCCATTTAACTGGTCCATGGCAATAATTATTTCAATAGCGAAGTGGTAAAACGGTACAAGTCAATTTTGACTATTCACCAGTTTTCAATAAATATCTCGGAATCTAAGGGAGATATTTATTGAAAACAAAAAAGCGAAGATAGCAAAATTTTTGTTGTAACATTTTTTGTAGAGCCGATTGAGAGCTGCCACAAATGTATTTACGAAAATTTCCCCTCCGAAATCTCCCTTAGATTCGGAGATATGGAATCAGTGAATATGTGTGTGTGTATTGTGAAGAAAGAACTTTTTGAAGTAGTTTAGAGTAATAAGAAGGCGCTTTGTCGCTAGATATTTAAAATAAGAATTCAGTATAGACTAAATATGAGAGACAATAAGTTCTTTTACAAATACTGCGTAGGATAGAAGAGTTGTTTTAGGATATGTTCGAGCGAAGCGTGAAGTGAAAGGTGTTTATGGCGGGTGACAGTTTTATGGCGATCATGTTTAGTTTGTGAGAGTTTTTTTGGATGACTGAGGGTGGCCTGTGTGAGGAACAGTACGCTCATTTTTTGGAACAAAGAGTATTGGTTGAGCATGAGTGAGAGTGAGAAAAGTAATTTTGAAATAGAGATAAAAAAGAGTGTTTGCCCGAATGAGAGAATAAAGAGTGAGTCAGTTCTGATCGGATGGATGTCGGGTTAACATGTAAAGAAGTTTCAAACCGAATTTACCTCAAATATACATTCATTATTTCATTAAATTAAATATCCTGTGTCTGAATGATTGTGATCCTACAGAAATATTCCTCAAAAACTCAAGTGGGAGATAAGTCGACTTAAACCGTTTTACCACTTCGCTACTGATTTTAAATTGTTTTGTGTTCTTGAAACTATCTCAAAGATTTACAAAGAGAAATTCCGAATGCTGCGATAGTAACAATAGCATTAGTATGACCTAAATAATTTATTTCTCATGAAATCTCATGTTTTTTTCTCATTCTTGTTGTTAAAATCACATTTCATGAAAAAAAACTAAAAAATCGACAGAACGTGGGGAGAGACGGCGCAAATAAGGGGGGCCACCTTTGCGACGGTCTGGCGCAAAGGTTTAGTCTAAAATTTAGACTCAAAGAATAATAAATAATAAGTAATCTTCAATGAACCGTTGAACAACATTAATATAAAAAATTTCTTCACTTCAGAAAATGAGAAAACAATGATAATAGAGGTAGTTAAGTCAAGGTCATACGCATGACTATTTTATAACGCATCATAATTATATCGTCATTTTAACCTAATTTGGAGCACCCAAAAATAACTGGCCTAGAGAATCATAATTTTCGAAAATGATTCACTTTTCTCAAACAAATGATAATTATTTTGCAGAAATATTTGTTTCTCTCGTTGCAATGAACGAATGTACGAAATGTACTGTTAATTTTTATTCAAATGGTCATTCATCCTCGAAACGAGGGATTTCAAAAGAGAATGTGGAGAAATTTTTTCGTAGTTGAAAAAATTAGCAACAAACAATGTTTTCTAAAGGAGCGAATCATTCGCCAACCAGATATTAGTAAATATTCGCGTATTTAGAGTGATAAACTATGTGTGAGGCTTCGATCCTTCATCAATTATTGGAAGTTTGAAAGTGATCGAGAATGTTATTGCCGGTGAAACGAAGAAAATAATTGTTGGAATATTTACGTACATTTTGGAGCACGGTTGACAATAAACAGGCACCGGCAGGTTTGTTACGACTCACGAATGGAAAATTGTCGAGAGGAGAATGGAGGGGAGATCGAATGGAGGAGCGGGAAAGGTTACTAGATTTAACAGGTTTTGCCAGCGCTCGGTCGCTGCTCGGCGATCTTTCGAACGCAAAATCATCAATTATTAGCCCCAGTTTTGTAAAAACGAATTCGTGAGGTTGAGTTCATCGACTTTTTGCTTTTGAGCAGCAATTATTCGGCACTTACTTGGTTCAGCAGGTCTCTCCATGTATGCTGCTTCGCCAGGGTTATTAGCGAATTAAAATAGTCATCAGATAGCGACAACTCTAAGAAAACGTTGCGTTGTACAGAAATGAGATGACAGACCTAAGGAAAAATATGATAGCTAATTGAAACCATTCAGACACTTACGTCTCGTTAACCGAAAAAAGTTATGCCTGAGTTATTATTGACGGCCTTTCAATTCGCTATCGTAACGAAATTATAGAACAGACAACTATCAGACGTCTCTGCTGCAGTCAAAAAAATCGATTAAATTCGTCTTCTCGATGGTTGTCTGTCATTCGACTATGTGAGAATATCGGACCGGCAACGTCGTCAGCTGAAAAATAGGGCATCGTGAGTTTACTTCTTTCCGTCGACTCGGAGTCAACGTCGATCTCATTCTTATAGTTACCCAAGCAGCACAGTTCTGGAGGGTATCTGCAAGTATATCAAAAAGGCTGTCTAATGTCTGTCTAAAAAGGTAACTTGTGTCTAGAAGTTAACTAAAAGTTATCGTATGACTGCAAGATATCTTTTGGACGGACATTAGTCTGCCTTTTTGGTATACTTTCAGATATCTTTCTCAAGGTTTGCTACTTCTGTTTGGGTATCTGTTTGTGGATTATTTTCCACAAATATCAGATATTTTGAATTGATGCCTCAAAGAGAACTATTGCATTGTTACTATTCTATAACGCTAAGCAGTTAACTTATCGATGACGATTTGCCGTGTGTATTTTGCATGTCATCTACTCGACGTCTTTTCAAAAAAGACCGATATATACCCAAGCAGCACAGTTCTGGAGGGTATCTGCAAGTATATCAAAAAGGCTGTCTAATGTCTGTCTATAAAGGTAACTTGTGTCTAGAAGTTAACTAAAAGTTATCGTATGACTGCAAGATACCTTTTGGACGGACATTAGTCAGCCTTTTTGGTATACTTTCAGATATCTTTCGCGAGGTTTGCTACTTGGGTAACTATGGAGCGACATCTACCAGATAACTCGTAGATAAACACTTCTATCTGGGTGCCGCGCACATGGGTCCCCCCAGATCAGCTGATCTTCAAACAAAAATCTTCGGAGCACGGTGTAGCACGGTGCTCCAAAATTTGCGTGTGTTTATAATCGTAAAAACATGACTCGAAACTCAAAATTCCACGTGGTGGGTCAAACGAATGAAAAATTAGTGTTTTTCGTATTTTTCAGTCGTAATTGATGGAATGAATGGCTAAAAATTGAATCGTGGGAAATCATTACGTGAAAGTGGAGTAAAGAGGAGTTTAACCTTTTCATAAACCGAGTTATCAGATTTTTCTGATCAAGATGTTGAGGGTTCTACGAAGAAACGTCAAATGCATTAGGATGAGGGAGAGGAGTGTCACCACTTGGTCTCCCCTGGCGAAGGTCTTCAATGCAGGAATCACTGAGGATGTTCGAATATCAGAGAAAAATGTCGTAAGTAAGTTTGTTATCTTTCTCTCGGAGTTGCAAACTCCAAATTCAAACTAGAAAGTCAATAAATGGCTCAATACTGGCTTCGGCTTGTTGCGCCGGTGTTATTGCTACTGTTCCGTCGGTTTAATTGTTATGTTCTTGAGCCGTATGTTCTTATTACGATACGGTGATATTATAAATTTTCTTATTTTTTTACGATGACAACGTAGGGGAGGTTGGGGTACAATGGACACTTTTGAGTTTATTTATAAATGTTAATGACGGGTTGAAACGTTGATGAAATTTAATCTTTTTTTTCAATACAAACAACAATTATTTCCCTTTGTGATGAGCTTAAACTGATCTTAATTAATAAATTTTTTTCTGAGTTATGAATAATTTTAAAAAAGTCTAAAGTGTCCATTTTACCTCACCCTCCTCTACTACAACTGTCGAAAGCCTGAGGAAGCTTTGTATTGCAAGCATGGTTTACTGATTTTCCTGAGCACTGAGAGAAAAATCAATGAGTTCTCAAACAAGACCTGTTTGGGCCAACAAAATTGTTAGTTGAGAATTACCAAAATAATAATTTTTTGGTAAAACAGTTCAAGTCGACTCATCTCCCAGTTGAGTTTTTGACGAATATTTTTCCGAATCTAAGACAAACAGCGAAATTTTCGTAATTACATTTGTTGTAGCTCTCAATCGGCTCTACAAAAAAGGTTATAACAAAAATTTTGGTATCTCTCTTAGGTTCCGAGATATTCACTGAAAACTGGCCAATAGTCAAAATTGACTTGTACCGTTTTACCACTTCGCCACTGAAATATTTGACATAAGAGGCAGATCATTCATAGAAGACGATGTCTTTTCAGAATCAAAATATATTTTATAGAGGGAAATTTATCGAGAAATATTTTGTCCCGAAGTTACAAGATTGCTGTCATATCATTACTTTTATTTCATTTAAGAATTCATATTCATTTAAGATTTCATTTGTTGGGTGTGGTTATTGAATAGCCGAAATGACGAACTACTATTCTTTCTGTCATAAAATGTGCATTTGTCGGGAGCAAAATACGTAAGACTAAGTCTATTTTTGCAATCAAATTTTTATGTCTTGGCGCACGCTTCGCATGTTTGATACAAAAAATCTTTTTTTGATAATTTTTAAAAAACTATGTTTTTGGTATGAGCAACACTTGTTCGAGAACTCTGTTGTTTTTCTCTCAGTGAGGGGCCATTCATTTATGAAAATTTCATAAATTTAATCATTGTCACTTAGAACTGAAATCGTACACTGAGAGAAATATCGACATAATATCACAAAACTAATTCCTCGCATCAAATATCTCATCTCATAAGGATAAAACACTTGGGATAAGAAGTCCGGATAATGAGTCAGATCCTGTATGAATCTTGTGAAATGTTCATGACTTCAACACGAACACTTGGCGATAAAGTGACAATTTCTTGCCTCAAGAAATCATATATTTCGTATCAAACAATGCGAAAACTACTAAAAATACTAAAAGCTTCAATTCAATGAATCATGGATCAAAGACTTTCATATTGAATGAATACACAATTTATAGAGGGAAGAACCTTCAGATATTTATGAAATATAATCACTTCACCGTCACTTGCTCTCAATCGCAACGAGTTTGAAGGAAAGGAATAACATCTTTTCTTTCTCTCAAACTTACTTTGTCTCTTCAGGAATATTATCTTATTTGCCAACAAAGAAATACATTTTTTTATTCAGTATCATCCTCGTTTTGCCCGAAGAGCATCGATTTCTTGTCTGAAACCTATCATGAACCACTCGAATATGCATGCGATGTTCTCCACTGAATAAATTAATTTTGTCATATTATGTTGATTTTTCTCTGTCTATTAGATATTTGATGGGAAAAAATCAATAGATTTCGATTTTTCTATTTGAATTTTTCTCTTAAGACTTTTTCCATCAAAACTATTGGGCATGGATTGTCCAAGTTTTTTCCGCTGTATTTTCTTTCGTTTTGCGTTGCAGGCTCCGAAATTCATGCCCAAATATTCTTATAGAAAAAATTCCAACAGAATATTCATATAAAAAAATCGAAATCAATAGACTTTTTCCTATCAAATATCGCATTAAATCAGCGCCAAAAACAAATAGAATTGTAACGAGAATTCTCTAGAATTTTAATAGAACCCCATTTTCTATTGAAATTTTTCGTACGCGGTCTACCAGAAATTTTATCATTTCTCTCTTCCAGGGTTTATTCGGCATGCCGGAGCTCCAGTCCGCCGAAGGTTTCCACGACCTAAAACGCCAGGCAGTCTCCGACTCGACCCGCTTAATAAACGAAGCCACCAGCCCCCATCGAACCCGGAAGATGGTCCAAATCTTCGACGACCTATCCGACTCCCTATGCAGAGTCGCAGACCTCGCTGAGTTCGTGAGGATCGCTCACCCAGAGCCCCGATTTTCCGAGGCAGCTGAATACGCCTGTGTCGAGGTAAGTGGAATCGTTGAGAAGCTGAACACCCACAGAGGACTGTACAACGCTCTCCTAAAAGTCGTCGAATCCGGGGACATACAGAGTACCACAGAAATCGACAAGCACGTCTGCAAACTGTTCCTCTTCGACTTCGAGCAATGCGGAATCCATCTACCTGAGAACCTCAGGCGAGAGGTCGTCGCCTTGAACGCTTACATCCTACAGGTAACTTCTTTTCATTGTTCAAACAATGATGTTAAACAAAAATGGATAAATATCCATTTTTTTTACTCAACGACACATGAGATTTTCAGAGATCCAAATGCGTCTCATGCTTCGTCATATGGCGGCTGCCACAATAAGGAACTTGCATGATGTTGTTTTGAATTTTCTAATCTTAAGTTTGGGACCTGAATTAGTATATTATGTCATCAGGCGATAAAAGTATTCGCCTTCGGCTCGGGTTATAAAGCCACATTCGCCAGATAATACTTTTATCGCCGTGTGACATACGATATTTTACGTCATTGGGCCCCAAAACCGCGATCTAACCAAGCGAAGCGAGGTTAGAAACGCGGTTTATCAGAGGCCTAATGACATAAAATTCATTCTTCACTCACAAACGTTTGAAATATCGCTCACTAAATAATAATTAATTAGTAAAAGATGAAGATTTCATACGCTTTGAAATCGCTAATAATGTCACTCAGGCGGTCGAGCGCTGGACCAATCATAGAACGGCTCGAGCCGACCTAACCCAATCTTGAGGTGCGCCTCGGCCAATGGAGGACGACAACTCCCCACTCTCTTCTTTTTAGATCAATGAAGCGGTGCATGATCGTCTTCGTGATAGCATGACCGAAAAATTTACCTTTAACTGATTTTCAATTAATCATTATAAGACATCTCCCTGGCGGATCTGTCGATTTTAGAATCGAGTGGATCAGTATATCGATTCGTATGCGAGCGTAGTTCGATTCAGATCTCAGATTTTTGATGGAATCCAAGATGAATCGACTTCATAGGAAGTCGATAGCTAGTGAATTTCGAATGACAAAAATTTATTGCATCAAAACTTGAACGACACATGGGGTGATCAGGATCGACTTGAAGAAAGTCGATTGTGACTCGATTGCCCGCATATTATTCACATCAATCGACCCACAATCGACCAGTTGTTGAGTCGTTTCATATAAGTGAATAATATGAAGTCAATCGAGTAATAATCGATTCAAGGATCAGTCGATTCGCCCACTGGAATTATGAAAACTATTATGAAACGACTAAACAACTAGTCGATTGTAGGTCGATTGACTTGAATAATGAGGACAATCGAGTCACAATCGACTCAAGGATCAGTCGATTTGCCCACTGGAATTATGAAAACTATTATGAAACGACTAAACAACTGGTTGATTGTGGGTGGATTGACTTGAATAATGAGGACAATCGAGCTACCATCGACTTGGCAGCGAGTCGATTCATTTACTAAGTATAAGAAACTAATATGAAACGACTGAATAACTTATTGTCGATTGTGGGTCGATTGACTTGAATAATGAGGACAATCGAGTCACAATCGGCTTTCTTCAAGTCGATCCTGGTCCGACCGTAAGGAGTCTTTCATAATCGACCACCCCATGAGTTGTTCAAGTTTTGGTGCAATAAATTTTTGTGATTTGAAATTCACTAGCTATCGACTTCCTATGAAGTCGATTCACCTTCGATTTCATCAATAATCTGAGATCTGAATCGAACTACATTCGCATATGAATCGATATACTGATCAACTCGATTCTACAATCGAGAGTCGATCCAATTTCAATCAGGGGATCCGCCAGGGCTAGGTAATATTTTCCTATAATTTTCGGTGTTTAGCTATTAGTCTAGTCAATCTAGACTTTGCGATTACAAAAAGATTTCCTTCAATGAAAAAATTTAAATCGATCCAGGAAAATGTCCTGGACAACATATCCAAATGTTTAAACATCATTTCATTCGTTTGAAATTCAAATTAATTAAAAACTATCGACTTTTTATGGCGCAACGCCAAGAACTTCAACCGTATAACTTTAACTCATTCAATAGACGAAAAAAAAATTTCAACTTGAAGAGAAAAAATTTCTCTACAAAATGGCACTAAAAAATAATGTTCGAAGATGAATAATTACTACGAAAAAAAATGCTGAAATTCTTTAACCTCACATTACGCTCAACAATAATATGAGGCTCCGAGACCCGCCCCTTTTCGGCGCACGCAACTCAATCAAATACGCGCGATGCGCAGTAGATTCGGACGTATATATGTTGCGTGCTGCCGTACAATATATTTATCTGATTCTCATTCGATTACATACCTGTTAAGCCATCTAATTATTTGTTCCAACATGAAAATCAATTAATGGGATAGCAACAGAAGAAATGTAAATAATATGATCAGATGATGCATTCACAATTCAGCGTAAATATTTTGTTAGTGTTGAAATTGTCAGAAAGCGTCCATTCATTTTTTTTCATTTGGCTGGAGAATTCATTTTATTTGATCAGTATCTCGTTTGAATAGATGGAATAACGGCATCGTAAGCCTCCCCTCACCTGGCCAACTGTATTCTATACCTAGGACCCTTGGGGCGTGGCTGAGGATCCCTTAAGAAGTAACGGAACCGACCACAAAAAGATATTTACCAAAAACACGTTTTCTTGGATTCTATGCAATCAGAATCAATAAAACTTTTTCCCCGTATTGAGAGTAGCGGAACGCATCGCTCTCTTCTCATGCTTTTTTTATTTATGCAAAACAAAATTGCAAATTATTTAACGGCAAGGACCAGGGCAAGGCCGACGCCATTTTATTTGTAGGAATCTGCCAAGTCATGGTAGAAAAACCGATTTTTTGTAGATTTTTCTCAGCCGATGGCCATTTTTATGTGAAGAGAGCGATCGAGTGAGGTCCAAGACAGAGATTTTAAGTACAAAAACGTACTTTTGTTGCGTAATTTTCGTAAAAACTTGTTTATGATGATCGGGTGGTATCCAGGAGGCAACATGTCCTTTACAGGGCACCGATTATAAGAGGGAAGTACTTTTACGAGTCAGAAGATGATGTAAAATGTTTCCATACCATTATTATTTATTTGTATCCATTTATTTATATTTTATGGGATTTTGTACTTTTCACGTACAAAATCCAAAAAACCATGGGAACCTACAATACCGATAGGGGGGACCCCTAGCCTCTGTGTGCGACGGGTTCAGTTACCCCTTAATCCTCACCTTTAGTGGTTTCACGGTATAGGTGATTGTCGTACATGTATAACCCGGGTCTCCCAGATACGCGCCGGGCACTCTTACCGACTAAGCTACCGGGAACCACAGAAATTCACTCTCAAATTCACCTTAAACACCGCCTAACCTCCTTTAGGCATTAAGAAAATTCTAAGAGAATTAGAATTTCGAGAGAAAAAATTTCCGCTTCACCCAGCCGGGAATCGAACCCGGGCCTCCCATCCATTGAAGGACACCTCATTCCAGGTCTTTCTCTGTATCCAATTGTAGTATGTGCTTACCGAACGACTATTTAAGCACCTGCAATCCTCCATTTCCTTTAGATCGTCTCCAAAAGTGGAACAATCTATATCGTTTACACGGCACAGAGTATACGCGTTAGAGGTTCTAAGTGAATTCATCCCGGACAACTCATCCCAAAGAATTTCATCCCAAAACAAATTTATCCCATGAAAAATTCATCTCAAAATTCAAATTCTAATGAAATTTTCAACGTCAACAAGAAAAAAGACAGGGGGGCGAAGAAAATGAAATCTTTATTCGCAAAAAAGCTAACACACTAAACAAAACATGGAAAGCAATTAAATATGTCACCATTTCTACACAATCTTCACCACAACACCGATCATCGGATCTACGGAAAATATGCCAAGAGAAACCATTAAATAAGTCTTCATTCATCACAACAACTATTCATCAAATAGGCAACAATAATAAACCACGTTGAATGCGTGACAATACCATACATTGTCATTTACGAAATAAACGCTTCATACGAAACATTCGAAATAACCCACTAGAAATAAATTATTCATTTTAACTATCGTCCATTATAATCATAACAAAGGTCAAATTAAAAGTCAACATTTTCAGCAACATTCTCCAAATACTTCACAACACGTCCAGCATCATATTTGCCCACAACAAAACAAAACAAATTCTAAAGGCATAGTGGGTTTTATCCGGAACAAACACAATCACAATTATCAGCGAATACGACCGAAATTCAATACCCTGGTAATCCGATGAATTACAAATCCGATGAATCCAAATATTTCACATTCTGGGTTGTCTGTCATCTTGAGATGAATTTGTTTTGGTATGAATTTGTTTTGGGATGAAATTGTTTTGGGACGAAATGCCATGGGATGAGTTTGTGGGATGAATTATCCCGGGATGAATTCACCGGATACCCGTGTTAGAAAAGTATTTTTTCAATAATTTAGTGAAGATTTCGTATTTCGATATTTGAGGGGTCATCGGTTTTTTTACCTGCGCCCCACCACGACCGCTTTGAAGAGCAGCTGTCCTTCCCTCCGTTGGACCAAGCCGTACGATATACGTTGAGAATATTCGAGTGGCGAGTCACGCGGTATTTGTGCTAGTCTGCTTGTTTAAGAGTTGGACATCTTGAACTCCTCGTGAAATTTTGATTGTGTAATAAAAACATCGAAAATGTCTCATCCTGGTGTGTGTTTTGTTTGTGATACAAGTTTGGACGATGGCAGCCCAACAAGAGCGGTAAAACAAAAAGGGATTAATACTTTCATTGCCAGAAGCAAGCTGAGAGGAGATGAAAAATGGAAAATCCTGGAAAACCTCACAGAAGTACGGCTACATGAACAGTGTCGTGTGAACTACAGTGTATCCAAAAAAACGATGAGTACTGGATCATCATCAGCACCACCGCCAGTTATAGTAGAGGACGAATTTGATTTTACAATGTATTGCTTCCTATGCGAGAAGCCTTGGGATCGAAAGCATCAGCCGGGTCGCAGAGTTTCAACGGATCGGTTACAGGAGTACATTGCAAAATGCATTCTTCTTCGTGATGATGAATGGGCACACAGTGTGCAGAAGAGAATTGAGTCAACGAGATTGAGAGAGGCAAATGCTCGATACCATATCAAATGTTATTACTCCTTCAAAAATTTTTCCAA